TTGATGTCATTGGTATTACAAAAATATCCAATCATGCTTTATGTAACCTACGTAATGATTTTATGACTTTATGAACTATAGTTGATGTCCTACATCCCTCGAAATGTTTTTTCTTGTATACCTTTAGTTGTGTGAAAATCGGGAAAAAAAAGATCAAGCTTGTTTTTTTGTGTCTTTTTGTTATGCTTTATCTACATATTTACACTCTATGCTACCTTTTACAGGTGACATAAAAAATAAGTATACGTTTTTGTTTCTTAAGTTAAACATAAACAAAGAATTGCCGCTCATTTATTTATTATTGCGTAACACTAAACAGAACCCATGAAATATCACAGTCCGTGTTTTATCGGCGGTGATAAAGTCCATTCGCATGTACTATGATGTGAAGTCGAATAAGATATATATACTCAAAAAAACAAGTAACGCGACGCAAACATCGCTGACCCTCTACTGAAAGGATGTGATGTTGTCAAGAGAACCGTATTGCAGGAACAGATTATGAAATCTAGTATTAACAGACACATTTAAAAGAAAAAAATTTAAAGGAATAATCTATCAACATATATGCATATGGTCAAACTGCTAAAAAATTTAAAGAATACAGGTTTGTTATGAAGAAAAAGTTTCACGAATCATCAGTCGAGGAACCCTCTACAGAGCCGGACAGAGCATTGATATCTATTAGCTGTTAATATGAGCGAAGTGATTAATGTTAGCGATAAGAAAATTCTAATCATGCTATCTCTGACATTTTTCATCATCACTTTTTTCGCTTTGTTTTAGAGTTTATGAGCTGAAACTATCTCAAGAGAAAGTTAACTGCTATCTAATTCGTTACTTTTTTTTACTGATAGATGTAAAAGTCAAATGGGCGGTGATGTAAAGAATAGTCAAATAAAATCATGTTTGACTCGTGTCTCTCGGCATGAGAAAAAGTTCAAACGATTTATGACTCAACTTTAATTTGCCATAGAAGTTTTTTTAATGACTCATGACTTGACTTGACTTTTTCTTTTTGTGAGTTGACAGTAAAATACAAATCAGATCTAGGGTGTGGGTGTAGTGTTTGGGTGTGGGGTGTGAGTGTTGATTTCACTATGGTCACACCAACACCCACACCCTACAAATCTCAATATCTGTCATAGAAATTCTCATCATTTTCTTATTATTTTTTTTCATTTAGTCATTTCTCTACGTTTTCTTCTACTTTTTACTTTCAATTATTGGTAATTTCACATTTTTTGTTTTTGCAATTCATTTACTTGATGTTGCAATAAGTGTAAAAGCTTTAAGTACAATATTAAAATCTATAACACACAATGGTAGACAAGTGATTATCTATGCAAAATTATTATTTTTTTTAATCAATTAAATATTTCTATATTTTAGTTACTTTTAACAATAATGTTAATGGCTGTTGTTGTTTATCTTTATACAGTAATTATATTTAATTTTTTTCGTAAATTTTATACGAAAGAAGAAGATGAAGAACGAGAAGAAAATTGCAAAGATATGTTTACTGTAGGTCGAAAAATAAAATAAACATTACTTACAATCCTGAATAAAAATAGATACAACCCATCAAATACTACTATTCTTTATGATATTGAATTTATATATTGGATGTATGTATTCAATAAGAAACTTTGATAGCAAGTACCAATCCGCCCTCGATTGGTTCACATATCATTCTGCTATTATAATCATATTGGTACAAATATATTTGTCGAACATCTCATTCGAAAGTTCAATGTCGTAGTTATCTCTAGTTCGAATTTCGTTTGAAATCACTTAAGATATTGTCTTCTATATCAAGAATATATATTGAGGATGAATCTTTCCATAGTGAGTTTGACCAATTTATACGAAAATTTTTAGTAGAAAGTTCCCATGAGATGACAAGTTAGTATTAGAGCTTCAACATTGAATGAAGTCTAATTAGCGCTATAACATGTGCTCATTATCTCAAAGCATGTTCATTACTAAGATCTTGACTATGTCTTATTGGCTTGGATTATAAAATAAAGTACACGTATGAGATTGTTTTTAGTGCTCGAAAAGACAACAGCAGTAGCTTTTATTGAGTGCATATTTCTGTTGAATATGTTTTTCATAAGGAAAACAAGATATATGAATCATATAACTCCAGTATATGTAAATCGATGGAGAGCAGATGACTGCTTGCGATCAGGTTTTTATTATTGCATACATACATCCGAAATATCAGTTTAATATCTTGAAAAATAGTAGTACTTCATGGAGAGTAGCTACTTTAATATAGGACTATATTTTGAATGTTTATATTTGATTTTAGTGTTTTAAATTTTATCTATATTCGGGTATTCGAGCTGGTGGTGGTATTGGTGATGAACTTGAATCACCTAATGATGATCCACTTGAATTATATCGAATTGTTTTTGATATAATGTTCTTTTTCTTTATTATTGTTATTCTTCTTGCTATTATTTAAGGTAAAATTGAATTAAGAAAAAAAAATTTTTTTTTTCATGTTTAATATATTAAATGAAATTTTTCAGATTTGATTATTGATGCTTTTGGTGATTTTCGTGAACAACTTGATTCAGTGAAAGAAACACTTGAAGTAATGCATAGATTTATTTGTTGTTTTTTATCTTATCTCATAGTTATATTTTAGTCAAAATGTTTTATTTGTGGAATCGGCTAAGATTATTTTGATAAAGAATCGCATGATTTTGAAGTAAGAAAAATTGATCTATGACAAAAAAAATAATTTCGAATTTTTTCTTTTAGACTCATATACAAGTAGAACATAAGGGTGTGGGTGTGGAGTGTGGGTGTGGAGTGTGGGTGTGGAGTGTGGGTGTGTGGGTGTTGGTGTGGGTGGGTAGATGTGGGTGGGTGGGTGTGGGGTATGAGTGTTGATTTCAACTATGGTCACGCCCACACCCACACCCACATCCGACCATTGACCAAAAACTGTATCAATCATTTTAACAGATGGGCGCATACCAAATTGTTTACGTGATTCACAAACTTCGAGTTCAGTAATACCACAATATTTACTAATTTGTTTATCAGAAAAAACCCAAACATTTTGCTTCAAAAGTGCTCGATCTTGAATAATGGATGAATTAAAACGATGAACAAGAAATTGAATAATTGCTTGAAATTGATACAAAAACCATCGATCAATTTGTGTTAATTGATAAAAACGTTCAATTGTATAGCCTTGATGAAAAGCTGTTGCTAATATAAAAACATTGACATCAGTTAGAGCACTTATTTCCTATAATAAAATATAAGAAAAATTCGAGCTAATCTTTAATTAATATTACGTTATCGGTGATTGTTCTTGCATATGAATCAAAACCAGTGAAATTTTGATCAACCATTCTTAAACATTTTTGAAATGCTTCGTCAAATGATTTGCTAATAGTCATAACTTCAACACTTTTCACTAAAGAATAATCAAAAAAATAAAACAAAAATTTTCTTTATTTAATTAAAAATCATTACTAACTCGAACTTCCAATTTTATATGAACATTGAACAAATTTTCTTAAATCTCATGGTGGAATTTTAATTGCAACATAATCAAGAGTTGATTCAAAACAAGCATATATTTAATGTATAATACGATTTTTTAAGTCAACTAAATTCATTCCAAGTGCAAGTTTAGCTGTTATATATCCTAATGAATAACCCGTTGCCTTTAATGCCAATGCAGATGAACGAATTAAACATGCATTTACTTTAATTATATAATATTCAATACATAGTGGATTTAATGAAAATTGTATATTGCATTGACCAACAATACCCAAATGACAAACAACTTTTATTGATACACTCCTTAATAAATTAAATTCATCACTTGATAATGTTTGACTTGGTACAACAACAATTGATTCATCGGTATGAGATGCTGTTGGATCAATATTTTCCATATTATATACCATAATACAATTATCAGATTAACCTCGAACAACTTCATATTCAACTTTTTTCCAACCTTTAAGTGATTTACAGGATGTGGGTGTGTAGGTATGGAGGTGAATAATAGAAAAACTACACCCACACCCACACCCACACCCATAAATTGAACAATTATATCATTTATCGTGTGATAGTATGTTATGTGAAATGGTACAAGTGGTACAACAACTTGCATTTTGAACTGCTATTTTTTTTATGTTATAAAACAAGTAGTACAACAAACACTACAATACGAAATAAAACAAGAAATAATAAAATTGAACAATTACATCATTTATCATGTACGTTCTGATGATGGCCTCTTTATGGCTGAAAATTCAACATATAAAAAAAAACTTTTTTTTAAAATTTTTTCATTTATTACTTTATTGCTATTATTTTTATATATTTTTTTCTATTTGACTTTCATCTACTATAACCTGATTGTTCATTGTCTTTATAGCCAAACAAATGTGAGTACATTAAAAATTAAAATGCAAAAAAAAATTAAAAAATTAAAAATAGATAAATCAATGATTAATATATTATCATATCTTTGTTACATTAAATACGATTTTGTTATGATTGTCTTTTATTATATATGTAAAAAATACATGTTTTATAAATTTATTATATAAATATTGATACATATTTTTTTTTGTGGTTAAATTGATTATTTAGAAAGCTGCTCTTATGAGTTCCCCTTGAGTTTCATATTTCTTATGCTACACTATGAAAATAATTACGCATTCAAATGAGAATTTTCTATTTCTAATGTTTGCTGACATTATTTTTTAACGGACTCATGCAAAATAATGGATATCTTCAACTATACACATATTTAGAAAAAGATGGCTCTAATTTCTTTCATCTACCTTTTCTAATCGTTTTCCTAGCATAGAGAAGGTTTGCTTATTATGCTTTGTTACGGTGCTTTGATTTAATCATCATCACTTTGATATTGTCTTCCTCATACCAATGAAAAACGGCCAATAATTAGAAGAAGTAAATGCCAGCTAATTTCTATTTTTCATTATCGCGACTATCAACAACAGAAACATACGTCTAGATAAATAACAGTAAGGCCGTTGCAAATGACATTCTGTACATCAAATAATTATTGCATATCCATTGATACTTGAATGATAATATCAAGAATGATGTAGAATCGTTTAAAAGAAATGGTCATTCAACAAGAAAATTTATTTAAAGAATATTTTTATTATACAAAAATTAGCTAACAGAAAAAAGAAGACAACATCAAAAAATGGAACAGAACGAGATAGAGGGAAAGAATAAGAAACAGAATAAATGAACAATCTTTTCGCTAGGAAAACGAATAAGAAAGATAGTTAAAAGGATAGATATTATCTTTATTAACACAAAAGTAGTAGTCTGTGTGTGTTTTAACACTTGTTAGCAATCAATTAGTGAATGACGAACATGGTGCATTTCAAAATAGTTCACAACATATACAATGAAATTGAAACACAATTGCATTTTAACATATGAAAATCTAATAATTTTAAATATTCGAAAGAAAAAAAAAGAGTTCGTTGATACGATCTATTGAAGATGGAAGTTTGCTATTCAGTGATGAATGTTATAATATTTTTTTAAAATAGTTTTCAGCGTGTGTTCATGTCCAAGAATTTTAGAAAATTCTAACTATTCTGTTGACACCCATACATTCATGAATAGCATATTCAATATGTAGAGTTCGATATCGATTTGGTTTCGGTAGACTACAAACATGTGTACCTCTATGAAACAGTCCTTCGTGATGATCCGGGTAGAGTTGTAAAAAGAGTCCTATATTCCAATCATTACTTTTTGAAAGAGTTGTATCTGGATATTGTTGAAGCATAAAAGCGATTGCCATCTCTAATGTTGAATCATTCTATGAAATGTTATTTAGTTCAATATTGACAAAGGTGTTTCGGAACCAATGTTGAAATTTATCTTTAATGTTAGTTACACGAATATTTTGAATTTGATGGAATGTAAATAAAGAAGAGTTTAGGAAGGATTGAAGTTCCTTTTTTATATAAGCTCATGAATGAATAACATTCGATGGTGATAAGATAATAGAAAATAATTGTTTATTTTATTATGTAAAATGGAATCAGCCTTTGTTAAATATATAGTTTCAATTAAAAGAATATGAACTTGGAATTCATTTGCAAATAAGATTGTAATTAGTGCTGGATATTTATTCGTATGATAATACTTTGTTTGTATAATAAACTGTTTTGCTTTACTTACAAGACGAATCAATTTCAATATCGTATCATATGTTGTTGTGTGATTTATATAGTACGGTTTTTTTCGGTGTAATCGGTTCAAATTTAGGCAAATTGATTAAATTTTGTAGCATATTTTGTTGTTTATCCATGCTGTTACTTTTAAATTCGATCTATGAGTTTTTTCTTTTTTGTAACACAGTAATAATTAACGTGATTTTTCTTTTTTTTAAACGATATTTAAAGGAAAGATGAATAATGCTAAGAAAGAAAGAGAAGAGAGAAAAGTGAGACAGAGAGAAGCACAAGAGACAAGTCGAACAAATGGTTATTGTTCGTCACATAATGGTTTATATCATTAAGCGAAGAGAAGATAAGGGATGATGAAGATGAGCATCACGATAATTATCAAGATATAAATGAATAATTTTTAAAAATATTCATCGATAAATGATCTTACATTTTTATTATTGTTCTTTCTACACGAAAGGACTTTAGCGCAGAAAAAAGTATCATGATCGAATAAAAGTCTGAAAAAGAAACCCAGAATCAAAGCATAACGAAAACATAACAACTGACTTGAAATTTTAGATCTTGTGCAGAATCGATATAAAACACATCATTCGATAGAGCGTGAAAAACTAAGTATTCCGTATAAATTTTCAAAATTGGGTATATTATAATTCGCAGCAGACTTTTTTCAAGATACTTTTAAATATGACAATCGTTGTTGTCCTTTTTTTCTTTCTGTTGTCTTCTCTCTTAAGCGCACTCCATGTCTCCGTACACATGCACAAGATAGAAAAAACGGTCACTGAATATAATTTAGATGAATCGTTGACAATCTTAATATTATCTAGAAAAAATAAATGAATCATCCAATATCATATTAAAATTAAATGAAAGAAGGGGTGGGTGTGGGTGTGGGAGGGTGGCTGGGTGTGGGTGTGAATACGTGCATTTCCTTCAACCACACCCACACCCACACCAACATCTACATCCAACACCCCACACCAACACCCACACCCAACACCCCACACCCCACACCCACCCTTCATTTAGTATCATATTTATTTCCTTGTAAACATTCATTTAGATTTAAACTACCAATTAAATGCTGAATTGAATATGAATTTTGATCTGTATGTCTATTTGTTGATTTCATAACATAATTATTTTCATTTAAAAATTCTTCCGGATTTACATTGACTTTTCTTTTAACACGTTTCTATCTATTAACAAAATCTAATCGAGTTAACATAAGAGTTGGATTGAATACATCATTTGAACCTGATATGTGAAGCAAACAAATGAAATTTCAATTTTCATTTTAGTTATAAACTTACGTTTATGCTTAGGAACATGAATAGTTTTCAATAAAGACTTTCGAGTTGACGTTCGTTGTATGTACGACATAATAATTTTTTTATACTCATGCAAAAAAAAAGAATAAAACAATTTCAAATAAGAAAACTAGTTGTTAGAAGTAAGTCAAGCTTGGTATGAATCACTTGGTATGAATCAGACTTCAGCCGACAGTTTCTCGCGTGTTGAATTTTAATGTGAAGAAAAATCTCAACAGATAGATGTTCTCTTCGATCGTATCGATTTTAATGAAATCTTTTTATAATTTTCGTTACTTTTTTATTATCATGATGTAACATCGCCTTTTTTTTACAATTATTATTAAAACGAAAACAAGATCGTTAAAATAGAAAGAAAAGGACATAAACAGTTGCTTAAATAAACAAGAACATTTATTTAGATAATTTTAAACATAAATATAACAAAAGTCTATATAATAATCATAGACAGCTACATTTGTCAATGAATTCATTACCATTGAAGACTGAAAATTTTCTGTATATGGTTTCGCATATCGAAATATTCTGTCGATCAGATCCAGATCGACTATTTGATGTTCGTATGATCCAGTTAATCGCCCCCCCCCCCCCCCCCATAGACGATGATAGACGTATCGGCACTCTAATTTAGATTTTCGATTTCGAATCGTTTTTTTTTTATAAATCTCGGTCTTGTAATACTTTATATAAGTCTCTATGAAAGACCATCAGAAATACTTGTAGAGGATCCTTCTATAAACTATAATTTTTCCCTCGTAACAAAATATAAATCATGTTCATTTTTTCGAATTGTATTATAAGTGACCCAGGTTAAAACATGTTTACTCGTTGTATCGTCTATTTTAATTTTATTTATTATGGCAATTTCTGCTGAAATTTCCTTTGAACTCCATAATACAATCGACTGGTGGAAATCGAGATCACGAAGATGCATAACTACTTGCATAAGTTTATCTTTGTTCATATTCTTTCCCAGCCTTACAATACCACGTGCAGTTAATGATAGTTTCAAATCAGTTCCACGAGTATGCCCTTCATCAAAATAAACAAATAATTTCTTATTTACAATATGGCACGTAGATATTTTTGACTATCACAGAACGAACATCATTGAAATATTAACGTATTCGGTCTAAGAAGCAGATACGAAATCTGACTAATTTCGTTATAAATAATTAAACTGCAATAAAATATCAGTTTATCAATTTATTAGAAAGATGTTAATTCAAAGAAGTACTTCAAATAGAAAAAAAACCCCGACTAATTAAAACTAATCTTGTAAGATTACGTTTTTCTTTGTTTGCCTCTTCCTATTTCACAAAATTTAATCACTAATCTTACTAGCAATACAAAATATAATTTAAAAAAAGCATTGTATATAAAATATACTTAGTAACCTATAATTGCTATGATGATTGAAATCAAAGAGATGATTGAAGAAGCTATATTTTAGAAGTTATCTTTGTATCGTTCTAGATAAACTTCAATAAAACATAATGATAAACTATTATAATGATAATTCAAACGTAATCTGATTGTGTTCAGAGAAAGATTTCAAAAAACCTACGAATATAAATTTATTGACTCATGTTTTTAGCATGAGTGAGACTTAATCTTCTCCTCAAAAATTCATCTTGGCTCAAGAACATTCAAATTGCATGAACTTTTCAGAATATATTGGGGCTGTCGTGGAGAGATTATGATTGGCAACCCGACATTTTCTGTGCACCTTCATTCTAAAGACTCAGGTTTTTTTGTTTGGAAAGAACATATCTGGATGCAGAGTATGACGGAACTCTTTTTTTTTATATTCCTACTTTGTGCCGAGAAGAACAGGGATGAAAAATTCAATGTCTGGAAAAACTCTCAATTATAAAAGTACTCTTTAATATAATAGTAACAAAGCATAATTCAAAAAAACGTATTTTGTCATGCTCTTCACCTTGACATACTTTTTTAAACAAATCAAAGTCATTAACTACAACGAAGCCCTTTCAAGGATTCCGAAATGCGCGATCAACACAACATAAAAAGAGAAAAAGCAAAACAAGATTATGCAATTTATCTGAAAAAGAAGTATACTTATCTAGCGGAAAATGACGGAAATTTTCGGAATAAATGAAGTGTCAAATGAAAAAATCATGTTATTTATGAAAGATCGAATCTCAGGCTATCTTCCCATGCATTTATCTCAATTTTCATGTTTTTCACGAAAATTGACTTTTTGAAAAGGAATGAGAGCTTAATGAATGTTATCCAAAACATGATAATCAAAACAAAAAAAACAATATGGAAAATAAATCTGAAATTTTTTTCAATATTTTAAAAGCGAATGCTAAAGAAATATATGTTTTTCTAACTGTTAGAAACTTTCAACTGTATTCAAAAAACTGATGAAAGTGATAGTCCACAAGCAAAATTTTGAATACAGTTTAAGTTTTTTCTTTGTTGTTGGTTTGAAAATATGCAACAGATGAATATAAATTATTGTTCAAATTATCCGAGATCTATCAAAAATAACTAAGCATCAGTAAATCATTCTATACAATAAACGACAATGTGTAAAATCAAATCACAAATCAAAAGAAAAAACTATAATTTATTTATATCAAATGAGTCTATTAAAGTAAACTGATAAACAAGTTAATTAATCTTAGTAATCAACATATGCTTGATTTTATTAGATAATTATGAAAGAACAGAAAAAAAAAATTATTATTTAAATAATAGAATACTAGAAGTTTATTTTTTATGCTCATGAAAATTATTGCTAATCAGCTTGAATATTTTTCAATACGGAGGAAAAAAAATTAAAGACCATTATAAGATAAACGATATTCAAATTACACGAATACGAAAACATTGACAATAATGAAATTTATCTTTTAAGATTTCTTTTTTTGTTTTTTGTTCTTATAATGGATAGCAAATGATTCAATTTGTTTGATAATTATGGTTGTTTAGCTTTTAAATCCGATGGAAGAATACAACACGGAATTTCAACCATTTTATGTAAATTTGCATTATGTCGTTTATTATAAATATCCAAAACTTGTTTTTGTCGATCAGTTAATGTGCTTTCTCCTTCCTTTGTATTACTTAAATCAAGATGATTCATAGCCCATTCAAGTTCATCATAAGTAGCTCCAATTTGATCTTCATCTGTTCTTGCATCACCAAATAAACCATCAGTTGGTGGTGCTTTAATTATATCTTGAGAAACACCTAATGCAGCAGCAATAGCACGTACTTCAGATTTCATTAAATCAGCTATTGGACTAATATCAACACCACCATCACCTTTAAATCAAATATAGACTTAGGGTTTTTACGAAAAAACAAAAAAAGCTTTCTTTTCATTGATGTTTACCGTATTTTGTAAAGAACCCAACACCAAAATCTTCAACTTTATTTCCAGTACCAACAACAAGATAACCTTTAATTGAAGCAAAATAATATAAATTAACCTTTTTAACAAAAACAAATAGAACTTAATAAATAATTGATAAAATCTAAAGAAAATAATCATCTTACCATTCTTAAACGTGATCTCATATTAGCAAATCCAACTTCTGTATAAGAATTAATCTCATCGACCTCACTTTTTTTAACTGTTTTTTCAAATGTTTCAAAAACATCAGTTAGATTAACTTCAGCACCTGTCACATTCGGATAATTTGATGTAAGCCAATCAATATGTGTTCGACTACGTCGTTTTTCACTTGATGCTTGTCGAATTGGCATTTCAATAACAAGTAATGGTAAACCAGTACGAGCACATAATGTTGATACTACAGCGGAATCAATTCCACCTGATACACCAACAACAAAACCTTTTGCATGACTTATTTTTTGATAATCATTCAGCCAATTTACTATATATTCAATGACTCGTTCTGTTTGCATTCCAATCAAATCTGAAAATATTATACACGAAGTCTAAAATTTGACAGAGCACTAAAAGTCAAAAAAAAACAGTCATTTGTATATACTCAATCGCAACAATTATTTTTCTTTTGTCATTGTTCGTTATCAATGATTCTTGGCTACATAGATCCATTAAAAAACAAAAGAAATAACAACACATATCACATAAACCGATACAGAAAGAGAATGAAAGAAAACAAAAAAAAAAAAGATTTACAGATCATTTCTGACTAGAAAAGAAAAATCAATATGCGAACGATAAGCGTTTTAACATTCAAGTTCAATATAATCGATCATTTGCTGTCGATCCTAAATAGAAATAATAATAAATTTATTTGTTTAGCAATAAAAATTTTGGTTTTTACGTGCATTTGTCGATCATTTTAAGATTGACATTAAGCAGGCTAGTGAGTAGCAGCCTTTTTTTATTAAAAAAAAAAAATATTAATTACCAAGGAAACATACACCATCAGCACCACAAATCCAATGAGAAGAGAAAACGAAAATACAAATGACTTCAAGAAACAACAAAAACCAACAGTAAATACACCGGAAAAAAACTTCTCATAATATATTGCACGAAGAATAAAATGAGTGTTAAAAAAAAAAGAAGCAAGAGCAAAACAAGCAGCGAAGCAACAAAAAAAAATATATATATATTGTGAACGCTTATGCAGAAGTGCAAAAAAAAAATGATTGAGTCATTGAACTGTTTAATAGGTCACCAAATAATTAAAAATTTTGTTTAAATACAAAAAAAAAATATTTATTTTGAAATTCATTTAGTATCACAAAGAAAAAATTGCTGTATCAGAACTTATTTTATAAAAATGTTTGTTTTTTTTTCGTTGTATAAAGATATTTTTATAAAAAAAATAAATTAGTTAGATTATTATAATGGTGACCAACAGTACAATGACTCATATGTAAACTAATTCTATCACAATTTCGAACAATCCAATACTTCAAGAGGATTTATGTGTATTTTACAATTACAAGCGGTAGTCGTTGGAATTCTTTCCAGACTTACATTAGTATTATTGTTATTATTTCTTCTTGATTTTATAGCAACAAATGATCCATCATCAAATGTATCATCAAGAATATCGTTAAAATGTTCTTGTCTTCGTCTAGATGTTTCTCTTGTTTGTTGTGATGTGTCATATTGATCACGTACAAAATTAACAAATACATTATCAAGTGTATTTTGTGCTACGCTATAGTCAGTTATACGTTCATTAATTAATAAATTTTCAAGTTTAGAAAAAATATCTTTTAATGAAACATGTATTTCAGCTATTTCATATTGTAATATATTTATATGACGTTCTTTTAAAATAAAATTTGTTGAAAAACAATCAAGAATTGTTTGATCTAATGTTGAATTTAATGAAGATTTTAAACGAATTTTTATTGTATAACCATCACCGAAACGATTTTTTAAATGTTGTGTTGAACCAAGACAACGAAAACAACCATTTACCATAATTGCAATGGATGAACAAAGTACTTCACATTCTTCCATACTAAAAATTTCATTTTATAATATTTAAATTTTTTCTTGAAATTATCAATATTTTCAATAAGGAAAATGTCATACAAAATCTATTATTTATTTTTGATCAAATAATCGGAAAGAAGAAGAATAAAAATAAATATTATTGAATTTAAAAAAAAAGACCTTTTTTTTAAAATTTAGTCACTAAATATTATGAAATTATATAATTATTCTATCGTTGAATTCAGATATGTTAATGAAATAATATACATAAATTTCTAGATGATTAATTAAAAGCACTTTCTTTTTTGCATTTTTGACATTACATAGACCAAATACTGACTCATTTTTACAAGCATCATTAACTTTTTCTTCAATAATTATCCTACAATCATCGATTTTTGATAGCACTAGTTTCACAAAATCGCTAGAATGTATAGCTGATGAAATGTTTGGTTAATGTGTTTTTCCTTCAAATTCAATTCGTAGTTATCCTTTTACAATGCTGACAACTTTAATGAATACGTGATTCAGCTGTAAAAAAGAAAAACATTTATATTACTCTGAGTTGCTAAGGAGCTATTTAGATTTTTTTTTCTTCGTTCGAACCTTTGAAACACTCTATATTTTTCGATGATATCTGCTATTAATTACAACATTTAATCTATTATGAATAATAAATTCAATTGAGATAATAATTCTTTTTTTCACTTTAAATAATAATATTATTATTTGAAAATATTTCAAATAAATTTACCTATGTGAAGTAAGTATAATTGATTTTCCTTCTTTAACTAAACGTCTAATAACATTCCATAAAAATCTTCGTGATGAAGGATCCATTCCACTTGTTGGTTCATCTAAAAATACAACAGATGGATCACCAACAAGTGCCATAGCTGTTGATAATTTTCTTCGATTTCCTAAAGATAATTTTCCAACAGGTATATTTAAATATTCACAAAGATCTAAACGCTTTAATAATTGATAAACATGTTGATCTTCATTATGCCAATAAATTCCTCTTAAACGTGCCATTAATAACATATGTTCAACAGGTGTTAATTCATCAAAAAGTGCATCAAATTGTGGACAATAACCAATATATTTAAAAACTTCTCGTCGTTCTTTCATACTATCAAAACCATGAATATGTGCATAACCAGCTGTTGGATAAAGATCACCAATTAACATTCGAAATGTTGTTGTTTTTCCAGCACCATTAACACCACATAAACCAAAACATTCACCAGAACGTATTCCCATACATAAATTATTAACAGCAATTAATTTTTTATGTTTTCTTGTACGATAACATTTTGATAAATTTGACATAATTAATATATTATCATTAATTGTTTTATTTAATATTTGTCGACGAATTTTTGCAACATCTTCATCTTCATCTAAATGTGAAAATGGTAATGCATCGGGAATTGTTGGAGAATAAAAAAATCTATATTCAAGTAATAATGTTAATATCCAAAATACAAAACCACATATTGCCATTGAAACTAAATTTGATACTGTTATATCCCAAATAAATGGTGTACGAATACGATCATTTAAACCAGTTTTTTTATAAAATGAATTATAATAATCCTATTTAAATTAAATATAATACTTGTTATTTATTATAGTCAAGTGATTATTATAATTAGAGTTTATTGAAGACTAGAACTAATCGATTCCAAAATTTTCGGATACATACTCGATTAACAGAAATATTTCAGACTCGGATTAACTCGAAACTTCTTGCTGCAGATATACTGTATTTTGATAGTATTTTTAAATTTAATGCTGTCGTCCTTTACAAGTACAAACGAAAAAATTGATTTTCAAATTTTGACTTGAAACTTTATTCAGAGATAGGCCTTAACAAAGAAGAGTTTATTGTAAAAGTTTTAGGTCTTTTGATTCGCTTCTATTCTGATATAAGAATATCGAATATGTCAATGTATATGAGTGATGTAAACGATATACTTTTACTATTAAATGTATCTTAGAATAAGAACAATGAAAAGATCTGAAACTTTTACAATAAACTATTCTCATGAAGGACTATTTCTAAATAAAGTTTCAAATTGAAATTCCAAAAATTAGTTTTCTTTTTGTATCTGAAGAGAGCATTCCAATATTAACTTAAAAAAGATCACCAAAATGCAGTATCGATGCACCAATAAGCTAACGATCCAAACTCTTTTCAGACTATTCATAACTCATTAATATCTGTATGATACACATTATCTGAAGTCAAAAGAGATTAATTCGTTGAAAAATTTTCCTCATAAGCGCGTTACATCACAGAATAAAAAACAAATGAAAAAAGTTTTTTTTTTTTCTTGTTTTGAATTAAATGAACTTACATTATAAGCAATATCAATTAAACCTCTTCCCAAACAATAATTGGGAAAAATTTTAAAGATTTTTTTCACTGTACTTGTAATAATACTTAATGTTGATGTAGATGGACTACCAAGTGCAAATATTTCAAGAAAAAAAGATGTATATATACATGTAATACCACTAAATAAATTAATAACAATTAAAAATATATAAGCATTACTTGGTTCACTAAATCGAAAACTAAATGGATACATCACAGGTATAATTGACCAACCATACATAAGAAATAAACTAATAACAGCAAGAAAATTTTCTCCTTCAACATAAGCAGGTACATTAAATAAACGTAAAATAACTATGACACAAGTAGCAGGTAATAAATAATTTAAAAGATCCCAAACAAAATTTGTTAACCAATAAACTAATGGAAAAAGACCATTTATATATTGAATATGTTTTGATTTTGTTGCACGTTCATAAACAAGAAATAATGTAAATGATGCTGGAACAAATGACATTGCTACAATAATAAAAATTGAAATAACAACATCAGATCCTTGTAAAATAAATTCTGTTGATAACATATTATTTGTTTCATTCATTGGATCTAAAATTATTTAAAAAATAAATTTTTTCTTTTTTTCTTTTTATTCAAATGAAATTATTACAAATCAAGAAGAGATTTGTTTTTCTTCTTTATAATTTATAGAAAATATTTCTTTTCATTTTTTTTTCTCAATGGCAAAAATTAAACAAAACAAAAAAAGGAAAGAATTTCACTCAATAACTTTTCCTAGGTAAATCTATTTGATACAGACATTGACTAATTTTATTCATCCAAATAAATTCAATTGACAAAAGATTTCATAAAAAAGTTCATGAAGATATTTATATTGTTGAAACAAATTTTTATTACAAATAGACAAAATGATAGTGGAAAATTTTGGTTTTTCAAGAGTTTATCTTTAGACAGAATTTTAATTAAATTTTCAATAATACTTGTTCCAATGAGATTTTATTTCTGTTATTTAGTCATACTTCAAATCATCTTTATTATTATTGAAGAGAAAAATTCAACAAGACAATTTTTTTTTATTTTTAGGCATGTACTTGGATTGATTTACATCTTTCAATA